TCACAGAACCAAAACAAGGAAGTCGCCCAAACGGCCGCTGGAGTCCCCGCAGCAGCTCAAAGTCCAAGCGAGGGGGAAGCAGCAGGTGGGTGCGCAGAGGAGGCTCCGGCAGGAGCGGCCGGGCAGCGGCCGGGGCTCTCCAGGAAAGCCTCCCCGCTCACCTTCCTGGGCTTGGCCCCCCGCCAGGCGGCTCAAGGCGCGCTGCTGCTCCTCTTCCAGCTGGGCCAGCCGGCTCTGGAGGCGCCGCTCCCGCTGCAGGGCTTCGGCCAGCCGCTGCTCCGCCACCTGCCGAGGGAAGAAGCGCACGGCTCGCTTCGACCTGCGCCAAGCGCTCCGCAGCCGGCGGCGCAGGGGAGGCGCGGGCCAGCCGGGATGGGGACGCAGACTCGGGCCCCCCGATCTCCCGCCCCCCTCCGCCCAAGCGGCCACCGGGGAGGGCGCGCAATGGGGCCGCCCGTGCCCGGCCGCGGGGAAACGCCGGAGCCTTCCCGGCCGGGGAGCGCGCTGCCCTTCGCACCTGCCGCGAATCCTCGGCGGCGGCGGCGGCACCGGGCGCTTCCTCGTCCGACGGCGCTTTCAGCAGCAGTTCGGGAGCCCCGCCGAGCCCGCCCGCCGCCAGCGTCTCCAGCAGCTCCAGGAGCCGCACCACCTGCGGGACCAGCCCAGCCAGGGCGGCCGTCCCGAAGTCCTCCGAGAGCCGCTGTAGTTCTGAGCCCAGCGCGGCCGCCAAGCGGTACACGTAGGCCGCCTCCATCCGCTCCGCCGCCGCGCTCCGGCTCCGGATAGGCGACGGCGGCGCTGCCCCAGCGCGCCCCAACGGCGACTGCGCTCGGGCGGCAGAAGAGGCGGCGCCGCTCCGCCTTCCACCTCCTCGCTCGCCCCGCCTCGCTCACCCGCGCCCGGAGAGGCGTCCCTGGCAGGACTCGGCCTACAGCTGGCCCAGCCGCTCGGCGGGGGACGTCCCGAAGCTGCCTCCGGCCGCTGTCCAGGCGCACGGAAGGCGGGTGGCGCTGAAGCCGATTCCCCGCGCCAGAAGCAGCGCAGGGGGCTCGGAAAGAGCGGGCGGGACGGCCGGAGTGCGTGTGTCGCCGCTTTCCCTTCGGAGGGGAAGCGAAAGTGGTCGTTTCCCTCAGGGAGGGGCTCCAGCCCAGGTTCCCCCCCCCCCCGCAACAGTCCTCGTGCAGGCTGGTTGGCCTCAGGATCGCCCCCAAGTCCTGCCAGCCTGGTTCCCTCCCCCCCTTCCTGCCCCCCCCAGCTGAGCGGAGCCTTTGGGGAGGGGCTGAGCAGCTGAGAGGTTCCACAAGAGACGCCTTTACAGCATACAAAATTTTATTAAACAACTGAAAGGTCAGGCGGACACTATACAGAAACAGAAACACGTCTCTTCTTCTTCTTCACACAAGCCCAACGGGGGGGGGGGGGGGGGGGGGGGGGGGGGCGGCTGCCAGTCTAGGAATAGAGATCCTCCCGGTCCGCCGAGTAGACCTCCCCCTCCTGCAGGAGGGCGAAGTTGAGGAAGTGGGAGGGGCGGTGGACCTCGTGGTAGAACTCCTTCGGGTTGGCCAGCTGCAGCTCGTACTTCATGTTGGGGTCATGCCGGACGCCTGCAAGGGAGGAGAGTCCAGCTCCAGACCCCAAAACGGCCAGGGACCCTCGCGGGGGGGGGGGGGGGAGTGTGGCAGAGGGGACAGCGGAAGCGGTGCCCTCCCCACTCCTCACGCCGCTTCTGCCATTCCGTGGCCCGCAGCAAGGGCAACGGGCTGGCTGTGACATGCGGGGCCCGTGGGGGCTCTGGACCCCCGGCGTCTCCCCCCGCGCTCACCCATGAAGTTGTAGTTCCAGGAGCTCTGGGCCGGCACCATGAAGAAGCCCAGGAAGCGGTCCGAGAGCAGCATCTGCACCCGCTCGTAGTGGGAGGGCAGGTATCCCTTGGGGTTGTTGCCCTTGTCCGTGTTCTGCCGGCCCCACTCGTAGCCACTGGGGGTCAGCTTGTAGGCGGTCAGGGTGCAGGAGCCCGGAGTGAAGCTGTGGGAGGAGGGGCCGGTCAGCGAAGGGGGCCCATCGGCTCCTCCCCCCCAGGCGACGGGCGAGCGAGCGATAGCCCAGACTGACCTGCAGGTGATGATGATGGTCTTCTCCCCGTCCCAGGAGGGGTTCTCGGCCATGACTTTGGCGTGGGTGGTCACATCTTGTGGGGAGAGCTGGGGAGACTCGTTGGGTTGGGTGTGAATCCACCCCAGAGGCTCCATTTCCTACGTTGGGGGGGAGAAGCCGGGGACGGTGGTGGTGTCAAGCAGTGTTAACAGCAGAGGGGCCCCGCCCTCCCTCCCCGCAAGGCAGCAGCACCCAACGGCCTCCTCTGGAGACACGAAAGACCCCCCAGGGACCCCACGCACACCTGGGGCACCCCAAAGAGATGGCTCACCTTCAGGTACTCATGCTGGGGCAGCTGGCCGGGGAGGTGGACGGTCTGATGGGTTCCCCACTGAGGCACCATCACAATACACCGGATCTCCTTCACCTGGGGGTTGTCTGGGGGACTCACCCCATAGAGGTATCCCGCAATCTGGGGGAACAGGGGCCGGGTCACCCAGGCACTGGCAGCCGAGGCCCTGGGCAAAGGGAGGCGGGCCCACGAGGGGCACTCGGCTGAAACTCCTGGGACGTGTGAGGGGCGCTCTTGGTGGCCCTCTCAGAGAGGCAAAGCCCAGAGGCCTTACTGGCTCCCCCCTCCCTTCTCAAAACGTGATGCAGAAGCAGAGAGGAGGGAGGCTCTGAGCCAAAAGGGGTCCCTGGGGGGGGGGGCACACCTGAGCTCGCAGGTCGGAGATGCAGATGAACTTCTTCAGGACGTTCTTGGGCAGGATGTAGGTGTAGCCGGTCTCTTTGATGTCATCCGAGGAGACGTAGATGTGGTTGGTGCGCAAGTGCAGGTTGGCGGCAGAGATGGCCCTGGGGGAGGAAGCAAAGGGTGTGACCGCCTGGGTCAAGCGGCACCTGAGCGGGTGGGGGGGGCAGGGAGCCGGCCCTCCCTCCCTCCCTCCCTCTGGGCTGCCGCCACGCACCTGACCCGCCACTCGGTCTTGGAGGAGAAGGTCTGGGTCTCGTAGTTGCTGGTGGTGGATGTGATGATCTCGTCGCCGTGTTTGTTGACCGTCCGCGTCTGGGTGGCCGTCAGCTGGCTCTGCTCCTTGGTCTGCTTCTCGATCTCCGCGATCTGCTGCCGCTGCTGGGAAGGCGCTGAGATCTCCATGCCGAGGATGATGTCCCGGATCTCGGACTGGGTCAAGGAAGCCACGTTCACACTGGCAAAGAGCGAGCGGGACAGGGCGGGTTGGCAGACGGAAGCCTCCAGAGCCCCTCCGCTGGGGCTTCAGGGCGCTGGCCAAGATCCCCACCCCACCCCCACCCCCACCCCCCGGCCTCAACCTCGGCCCTCCTCCACACCAAGGGAAGCCAAGAGGGCCACCTACTTGTTCTTCTTGCCATAGTCGGCCAAGATCAGGTCCTTCAGCTGCACCTCCACTTTGATCCACTCCTCATCGGTCAAGGTGGGCCAGATGTGGTGAGGCTCGGTGATGGTGGTCTTGTCCGGCTTCAGGATGACTTTGGCCCGATCATTGTTCACGTGCAGCGCCCGCAGGATGAGGATCAGGCGGGAAAAGGCCTGGGAGGGAAGGCGAAGGGGATTGGCATCCCACGCCCACCTGGGGGAGGGGCGGGGGCCGCTTGGCGCCCGTCCAGGCGCAGCCGGCCCTTCGAGTGTGCCCGTGTGGGAACGGCAGGGGGCTCACCGTGTAGGAAGAGATGGTCTTCAGCCAGTCATCGTAAAGGTTGAAGAGGACCATCTGGGGTTCGGTCGCCTTCAAGATGAGGTCCCCAAACTTCTCCACCTTCAGGCAGGCCTGGAAGGGAAGCTGCAGCTCCGAGCCCTTGATCACAATGTTGGGGAAGTCCAGGAGGTGCACCTGTTGGGGGAGATGAGGGGTCCCACCGGTCATTGTCCAGAGCTCCAGGCTACGGCCACAGAGGGAGGAGGAGGAGACGCCTCCCTCCCTCCCTCCCCTCTCCTGCCCCCGCTCGGCCTACCTCCAAGGGATCCAACATGCCCTTCCGGGTGACGATGATCTGCTTGGGCTGCTCCTCCACAGGCAGGGACCGGATCAGAGCCGCCACCTCTTCCGCCGTCTTCCACTTGGCCAGCTGGCAAGAAAGGGGGCAGCAGGGGCATGAGAAGGGGGTTCCCTCCCTCCCTCCCTCCCTCCTCCAAGCAGAGGCCCGGGGGGGCCCATGACCTCACCTGGCCCAAACGCTTTTGCCCAGCCCAGACGGAAGTGTGGATGATCTTCAAGAAGAGCTGCCCGGTCCGAGGGTTGAAGATGAAGATGGCCCCGTTGATGGGCTTCGTGGTCAGGTTCCCCTCGAAGGTCTGGAAGAAGCGGCTGCTGATCAGGAGGTGCTCAGGCCCTCCCCTTCCCCCCGACTGCCAGGGAGGGGCAGCCCAGAGCCCCTCACCTTGTGGATGGTGACCCTGTAGACGTTGGTGTCGTCCACAAACCAGATGATCTGGTTGGAGAAGAGCTCCCCGTAGTTCTGCGAGGACAGGTAGGGCTCGGTGGGCTCCGAGGAGTAAAGCTGCAGCCCCTTGCGGATCCGCTCCCTCAGCACGTACAAGGCCGGGTTGGCCTTCATGATCTTGGCCATGGCCTGCTGGATCAGGGGCTTGCTCCCCGGGAACCAGTTCCCGTAGGCGCTGGGAGGAGGGCGGGGAAGAGCGTCAGTCCCCGAGGGCCAGGACTCTGCCCCCTCCCTACCCCCACCCGAGAGAGCCTGGCTCCTCCGGATGCGGCCCTGCCTTCTGCGGCTGATCCACCACCCTGCGTGCGGGGTCCCTGCCCCCCTCCTCACCTGTGCAGGTTGTAGGCCAGGTCAATGGCAATGAGGACCCCGGTGGGGGAGGGGTAGATGCTCATGTTGTCCGTAGTGTAGTCCAGGAACTTTGCCCGGGCGTAACGCTCGATGTCATGTGAATCATAGTCTCCCCAACGCAGCTGGATGTCGATCCAGTACTTCTGGGTGGTGGTGCTGTCCATCACGTCCCTGAGCAGCGGCAGCGGAAGAGGAGGGGGAAGGGCAGGGGGCCGTCAGCATGGGGAAAGCAGGCGGGAGGGGGCGGCTGGGGAGGAGCCCCCACCTCCCACCTCCAACCCCCGGGGGCTTACTTGGAGTCTGCCAGCAGGGAGGGCCGGGAGACGTTCCACTTGTAGGAGGCGAAGAGGAGGATGTCCGCGCAGGAGGAGTTCATCTTGTAGGACTTCCTGGGGTGGATGGTCTCCTTCTGCACTGTCTCAATCTCCAAGGCGTCCAGCTCCTGGTCAAACACCTGGAACCGGCCGAGAGGGAGGGAGGGAGGTTGGGAGCGAGTGGGGAGGGGGCCCCAAACCCCCCCTGGCTTGGAGGCTGCCTGTCAGGGGAGGAGCCGAAGGAGTCTCACCTGGCAGAGGTCCATGACGATGCTTTCGTGGATCTTCTGCCACAAGTGAGCCCGGAAGATCTGGATCAGGGAGATCTTCAGCGTGGGGATTTTGCCATGCATGAAGATGCCAGTCAGGTCCAGCTGCACCTGGAAGCCCACGTAGACCTGCCAGGGGGGAGGGCGAGAGGGGTGAGGCCTCATCGAGACTCAGCACAGGGGGCCCCTTCACCGCCCTCACCCCCAAAGCCCTGCCGGACCAATCCCCAAGGGCACCCCCGTGGCACCGGACGGCAGCGTGACTCACGTTGGCCCTGTTGATGGTGGGAGACCACCAGAGGGTGAACCTCCGGTTGGGGATCTGATTGAGACCTGAACGCTGGGCGTTGGTCAGCTTCTTCCACTTCATGGACTCCTCGAAGCCACTGGCTTTTTCCCTGGATGGGCGGGAGAGCAGGAGGCGTCACGCCAGGAGGTGCCCGCAGCCCCCCCCCCGCTCCCCAAAGGCCCTGGCACGGAGGGATCCTCACCAGAAGAGCCCCTCCCAGGTGGGAAAGTAGGTGCCCTTAAAGAGCGTGTGCTCCAGGATGCCCTCCACCCCGCCCAGGGCCTGGATCATGTCCGTGCGGTAGTTGTTCAGGTTCCAGAGCTTCCCGTCGTGGCGCTGGTGGGTCCACCAGAAGGGGTTCTGCTTCAGCACCTGGAGGGAGGGAGGGGGGGGGAGAAGGGATCGTCGGGTTCGCCCACAGCACCCGCTACCAGGAGGGGGGCACGCTGGGGAGCATGGGGGGGGGGAGGCAAACCTGGTACTGCTTGAAATCCGTCCTGACCCTCCAGCCCTTGTCGTAGGCCAGCGTGTGCCGGTCCTTCTGGAAGAGGGTGTTGATGCGTGGGATGCCTCTGTCCCACGAGTCCTCCAGGTCCTCCAGGGTCAGGCGCCTGCCACAGGGAGAAGGGGCTGAATGCTTGCTGAGCCAAAGGCCGCCTCACCAGGGCCAGGGAGGACCCGGAGGCTGACATTCACACTGATACGCTAAGCCCGGTCCCTTTCAAACCTGGCCTAACTGGTTCTGGGCCAGGCACCATCTATGGAACCAGCCCGTTCGGTTTGCTTCTGGTTGCTGTGCTGACCCAGCAGACCGATGAATGGGGGAGGCTCTTTTAAAGGCAGCGTGCAAATCCTGCCTTAGCGTTGGGGTGGAGGCCAGGAGAGCCACTCCAGGGGATGATCCCCCAGTGGGAACTCGCCCTGCACCGGGCTTCTTCCTCCTCCTCCTCCTCCTCCTCCTCCTCCTCCTCCTGAGTCTGGCCGAGGGTCCGCTTTCCCCCCTCCCAGCAACCCACCTGTTCTGAGCAATGGCTTCCTGCCGCTTGAGGGCGTATTCGGCCCACACCCGCTGGGAGTCGATGAATTCACTCTCCCACGGCTGGATGTACCGGTAGAGGTTGGGGATCAGCTGGTCCTCCTCGTGGCTCATTCCGGACCGGAAGTGAGTGATGCCCACGTCCGTCTGCTTGGACCACCTAAGGAGCAGACCCGACTTGCTCAACCCAGGGGGCGGAGGTCAACCGGCCCTCCCCAGGAGACAGCTCAACCGCCTCTCCGCACCTGAGGTCAGACTGAGGGATCAGGACGTGGCCCATGGAGAGCATGCCCAGCCCCCCAAGCTCCTTGGGGGTGTAGAAGACCACGGGCGGGAAGCGGCTGGGCATCTTGGAGTTCAGGCCAATCTTGATCCGAGTCTGGATCTTGTTCTCGCACTTCACCAGCAAGTCCAGCAGCTCCTGGGTGTTCACCACGGCCTCCCGGAAGTAGGTCATTAAGCCGATCAGGGCCGTGTTCCACTTATTCACGATCTGCCAGCGGGGGAGGAGGAGGGACGGGAGTTCAGGTGCTCCTCTTGCCGGTGCCGCCTCAGTTGAGACCCCCTCCCTCCTCCCGGCCTCCCTACCTTGGTGAAGGTGGTGGAGCCGGAGGCCATCAGGATCTGCCTGACCCGGTTGTGGAACCGCTGCATGGACTCATCGTCCACTCGCAAGAAGCACTGGGCGGTGCGTTCCTTGGTCACCTGCGAGAGCAGAGAGCAATGAGCTTGAGGGGGTGGCATATTGTCAGCCCCCACCTGCCCCCCCCCCGGAAGACACCCACCTCATTCTGCAAGTTCCACACCCCGTCCTTGTGGGTGAACTCTTCGTAGCTGGTCCGGCACTTGGGCAGGATGCGACACTCGAAGCCGCACATGTTGAAAAGCAGGTTGGGGTTGTCCTTGCTGTACACAGACACAAAGCTGTTCTCCCACTGCACCGTGGTGACGGAGCGCGGCAGCCGGTTCTTGATGTCCCAGAAGACGGCACGGCCCCTGCCAGGGAGAAGCTCCAGGTTTATGGGCTGCCCCCCCTCCAGCCTCCGCCCCTCTGGGAGGGCAGCCCCTCTGCCGGCCACACACTCACAGGTTGACGTCATGCTTCATGAGGCGCATGCGAGCATCACGAGGCCAGCACTTCTTGTTGTTGTAGCCCACGATGTTCTCGTTGTTTGGATCCGGATGCTCGGTCAGGTAGCGCTGGATCAGGTCCCTGGCCTCATCCGCCGTGAACCTGCAGAACGGCAGCCCAGAGGCGTCAACCCTCTCTACGCCCTGTCCCTGGAGATGGGGTGGGGCCCAGGACAGGTGGACTGCCAGTGGTCTGCCTGCGAGACCCCCCCCCCAGGCTGACCAAATAGCCCGGCCCGGCCCTGGGACTACAAGCAGGCTGCTCCCAACTTGCTGGACAGGCAAAGCAGCTGCTGAGAATCAAGGAGGACAGACGAGGATCACGACACCTCTTTGAGTCCATGATCCCTGGGCCCTGCCAGGACACAGCTCCCTCCCCTCAGGGCCCCACACACCCAACTGGTGGGGAAAGGGCAATGTGTTTGGGAGGGAGGGGGGGCTCAAATCAGAGCAGCGCTGTCCCTGCCAGGCATGCCAAGTGCCCCCCTCCCCAATTGGCACCTGAAAAAGATGTGGATGCGGTCGATGTATCTGCAGAACAAGCGTATCGGGTGGGCCACCTCTGTGGCCAAGTCTTGGAAGCTGAGGAAGTCGTTGGGCATCTGCGGGGGGCCGGCCATCTCACTGGCGCGGTGCAGGCCGAGCACCAGCAGATCCATCACCAGCCCGTAGTACTGGACAATGAAGGAGGCGAACTGCAGGCCCCGGATGATCCCGTAGGAGTTGGTGTGGTTCATGTCCTGGGGAGGGGGAGGAGAAGAGGGTGAAGGGCGCCTCCGGGGTCACGCCTGCACCGGGAGCCCAGCTGCCAGCTCAGCCTACCTTGTAGTTGATGACCACGTTGTTCTTGGCTGTCATGTAGTCGGCGATGTTGTGGTCAACGATGAGACGCAGCAGCCTGTTAAGCAGCGTCAAGTCGATCTTCTCGTACATCTTCTCAAAGCGGGACTCCAGCATGACGTTGCACTCCCCTTCGCTGGTCTCCCACACGTCCTGCAGGTTGTTAATGCCTGGAAGCCGCCAAAAACACGTGGGAAGATTGCAAGGGAGGAAGGGCCCCCTTTGCACCCTGCACCAGTCGGGACCGGAGGCCTGGCTGGCCGGTCAAATCCTTCTCGGCTGTCCTGGAAGAACGACAGATGCCCCCCCCCCTCCCCATCCTGCTCTTTCCTCCCTCCATCACTGCCTCTCAATTCAGGCCACCATGGAGTCTTAGGGAGGGAGGGAGGGAGGGAGAGGTGGCTTCACTGGGGAGACCCTACGCCCAGACTCACCCTGGCACCACTTGTATACCAGCAGCGGAGGGGGCTCCGTGTCGGCTGGCTTGATCCACGGAGGGAAGAGACGTCTCTTGTCTGCCTCGTACCACAGGTACTGGTCCAGGTAGGCGTCTGTGATCTTCTCCAGGGGCTCCACGTCATAGACAGGGACCAGGTGGCTGTAGAGGTCCATAAACTCGATGCCCACCTGACCAAGGAACACGCCGATCAGGGCAGCCGTGCGTCAGGCCCTCGTACGGCACAGCCACTGGTGCGAAACGCTTGATCGAGGCTGCCCTCCCCTCCTGCCGAGGCTCACCTCCTTGAAGGCCCGCTGGGTCAGCAAATGCCGCTTGATGCGCGAAAGGGCCTCGTGAGGGTTGTCGTAGGCCTGCTCGATCAGGCCCAGCTCCTCCCGCTGGGACTGGTTCAGACGAGACTTCACACTGGGGGAAGGAAGTGCGGTTTGGGAGGGCAGCTCAGGCCCTTTCAGAGGGAGCTCCAGGAAGCAAGGCAGGTAAGCAAGGAGGCAGGTGAAGCCAGTGGGATCCCCACACAAAAGGAGGCACTCGCGGCCCAATAGGCTCAGCGTGGGAAAGAGTCGGGGCAAAAACAAGGAAGGCCTTTTCACCAAAGAGGGCTTGGGTGCTGTGGGAGATGCTGAGCCCCTCCCCATTCCCCTCCCTCCCACCTTTAGCCCCCCCCTCCCTCCCCAGGGTACCTGTAAGCCTCCTTCAGCCTCTCCAGGGCCAGGATCAGGAGCTTGGTGTCGTGCTTGTAGGAGAGGGGAGGGAAAGGGATGGGGGAGAAGCGCCGGCTCTCCAGCCAGTGCACCGTGGTGGTGTAAACGGCCACAGCCTCCTCCGCGGTGATGTACGGCCCGTCCTGCAGACGAACCACAGCAGCAGGGTCAAAGCTTTGCCGCCTGCGGCAGGCCGGCCTGCCTCCCCCAGCGAGAGGCACAAGGGGCTGCCTACCTTCAGGTAGTTGTGCTGCCTCTCCTGCTCGGCCTTCAGGTAGAGGCGAGTCAGGCGGCCCAGGTTCTTCTTGCAGACCGTCTTGTCCACAGTGGCCCCGCGGCGGATGCGCTCCCGGTTGTAATGCGCTGTGTTGGTCCACCAGTCCGCTTTGGCCTTCACGTACCGCAAGATCATGTTCTCGATGGGAGTTGGCAGCCCCGGGACCTGCGGTGGGACAGGAGGGAAAGGAAAAGCTGGCCCACCTGAACGACCGGCCCCATTCAGAGGAGGGAGGGAGGGAGGGAGGGAGGGAGGGGGACTCACCTTCCAAGGGATATTGGCCTTCCAGCACCGCCAGGCCTCACTCAGGTGCTGCAGGATGGTCCGGGCCTTGTTCTGCTTGATCCCCTCAGGCATCATGTCCAGGATGTCGTGCATCACTGCCGCCCGCAGCTCCAGGTCGAAGTGGGACTCCACCCGCTGCTTGGTGACAGTCTTGGCCACCCCCTTTGAATGGCGGCCTGGAAGGAAGGGTGAGAAAGAGACTCCCTGGATGGTCGCTCCCTGGACCTTCCGGGAGATCACTTGGTCTCCCCAGGATAACAGGGAAGCTCTCAGGTTGATTCGAAAGGACTTTGGTTTTTAGAGAAAAAGTGATCAGCCACAGCACAGAAACAGCAGGGGAAATGGGGGAGAATTGCAACAACTTGCCCAGCCGCGACAGAATCTGTTTTGGCCTGGAGCCGCAGAGGGTCCTGGGTGAAATTTATTCAGCCAGGATTGACACCCGGTTACCCTTGGCTGCTCTGCTACCCACCTGGGCCAGCAGTGAAGGGAGGGGAGAGGTCAAGCCCAGGGATCCCCCCCACTAGGGAAGGCCAAATGATCTGGTCTTCTCTCTCTCCTGTTGCTGAGTGCCACGGTAACCACCAGGGCAGACCACCGCCTACCTTGGGGTGAAGCTCCTCAGTTATAAATCTCTCCACTAGAGGCGGGAGAGCCAGTGGAGCAGGGGACCTAGTGGCCGGGAGCTTTTAGGATCCGGCTGGGGAGGAGGCCAAGTGGTTCCCGTGGCACTTCTGAGGGATGAATGGACCTTCAGGAAACCTTTCCAGGACCACAAACGGCCCAAAGCTACTGGAGGAGTCGCAAGCGGGACGTTTTGCTGCTCCAGGACTAAACCCGGCCAGAGGAAAGGCTCTGCTTACCCTCAAACTGCCTGGCCAGGAGGTTCCCCAGCCACCGCTCCAGCAGGGGCGTAATCCCTCTCATGAAGAAGAGCCACACGCGCCAGCCGGGAGCCCAGAAACCACAGCCGGGGCCTTTCCCCACCGGCCCCTGGACAAGGGAAGGAAACACTGAGTCGGCTTCACGGGGACAACCAGGCACACGGCCTGGCACCCGGACCCTCCTCGCAGCTGCCCGAAACGGGATGGGCCCCCCCGACTTCCCTCTCGTGGGCACGGCAGCCGAGGCCGAACCTCCCCAGCGGCTGAGCTGCACTCACGGTGTTGAAGCGGTAGTAAATGAGGTGCTTGAGGTCTTTGCACATCCGGATCTGCCTCATCAGCTTGTATTTGTACCGGTACATCCCAGTCAGCTGCCCCACGTGAGCGAAGATGTACTGGAGGCCGTCTGACAGCTGTGGGGGGAAGCAGCGGGGCTGAGAGGAGGCACCCGGCTAAGGGTTCAGGGTTTGGGGGGGGGGGTTCCTGGGCCAGGTGGGGGGGGAGGGGCTTGCAGTGTGCCACAGGGCCTCCCACGGTCCCGGTGTTCAACAGGATGGCGCCACCCACCTGGAAGGCATCCACGTTTCCTAGCCTGTACTGGACATGGCTGTCCACCACCAGCTTGGTCAGACGCAGCACCTCCCGGCACAGGTGGAAGGCATTGCCAAAGCGAGACTTCTTCCTTTCCTACCGAGCGAGAGGAGAGACCCTGAGCAGCGCCTGGAGGGGGGCTGGGGGGGGGGGGGGGGGGGGGGGACAGACGACTAGGGAGCCCCAAGGAAGAGGGCAGTCCAGCAGGGACAGTCCCAGCGGGCTCCTTTGGGCCCCTCCCTCCCTCCCTCCCTCCCTCCCGGGCGCAGTTTCCTGGAAGCAGCACGGGTGAGGGACGCAGCCCGAGGGCCCCACCGCTCCCCTGCTAGAGGGGAAGGGGGAAGGGGGGGAGGCACCTTGGTGGTGAGGGTCTTGACGGGCTTCAGGTTGAAGTTGTAGTCCAGGTGGAGGTAGTTGAGGTTCTTGCGGTGGATCAGGAGGTTGAGCATGTTGTAGCCCTGGCGGCAGACCTGCAGCCCCACCTCCACCCAGTCCAGCTTGGTGGACTGGAAGAACTTGGTGGCCTTGAAGGAGCGGAAGAGGTACCTGGGGGGGGCAGCAGACGAGCGGGGCGCTGGGCGGGCACGCTGGGCTCCCCCCCCCTCTACCCGCCAGCCAGCCTGAGCTGCCACCTCCTCCTCCCAAGGGGCGGGAGACCCCCAGAATGAGCCCCCCACTCTCACCTCTTCTTCTGGGCCTTGGGGGGCCTGTGCTTGAGCGCGTTGAGGACGTAGTACTTCAGGAGCTTCTGGTAAGAGACCCGCACCTTCACAGGCTGCCCGGCGGGGCAATGCTCTCGGTACCTGACAGCCGGCGAGGGGGAAGCGGCGAGTTCTCAGCCTGCCCAGAACCAGAGCCCCGGAGGAGAGCAGCCGTAAGGGGCACCACCCAGGGGGAAAGGGGGCCAATTGGGCCACTTCAGCCGGCTTACCAGTTCTTGACCAGAGGGATGTCCAGGGCTCGCCGGGTGCGGCCAGAGCGCAGGTTGAAGGGCCGCGGGGCCCAGAGGAGGGCGATGCCGTTGGCCGTGTTGTCCGTGTACAGAGGGGTCTCCTTGAGGAAGGGCTCCACAAACTCTGGCAGCTCAAACTCCTCGTCGTCATCAGGGAGCGGCTCCTGGCTCTGGGAGGGTCAGAGGTGGTGTCACGGAGGCCCCGAGGGAGCCCCCCCCTCGGCTAGGAAGGGGGCCGGGCGGAGAAGCCCAGGAACAAGATAACCCCCTCCCCCTTCAAAGGCTCCTCCGGACGGGCAAGCAGAAGCCGCAGACGGGGCAGAAGGTTCCCTGCAAGCCCCCTCCTCTCCTCTCGGCAGCCCTGGTCCCGTTCTTCTTCTGGATTTTATCCCCTTATTTACGCCCCTTGTTCATTTGCTTTAGTCCCTCACCTGGGGGCGAGGGGGGGGGGGTTCCCTGTATGTTTTCATTCCTGCTTGAAAGGCCCCCCAGGCTCCCTCCGGAGACGGAAGAGGGCAGAAACAGGAAGGGCTTTTGCACCCCCACCCCCACGGTCTCACCTTAACCGAATGTCTGTGTGAAATGGGGTTAATGAGGGGATCAAAATAGAAAGCTGGCAGGTCTGGATCCTCCGTTTTGATGAAGACCACGTTGGGGGTGTGATACCTGCAGAGGACGAGATGCTCTTAGCAAAAGGAGAACCCTCCCCCCCCGCCCCCCAAAAGAGCTTCTCCAGGTGCTGCCAGTGCCTGAACTGCATTTAATGCCAACTGAACCTCCCGGCCAGTGTCCAGCCTGCCAATGGTCAGCCCAGCCCACCTCTCCGCTCCCTCCGCTCTTCCCACCCCCAGCCAGCCTCAGCAGCTCCGCGCAGCCGATCTCACCAGGTGAGGTGGACGTGGTGGGGAAGGTTGTTGTAGAGGTAGGGGAAGGCGATCTTGTACTCGGTCCGGATCGGCTGCCGGATGATGATCTTGTTGATGTCATTAAATTCATTCCAGTCCTCGTCCCTTTGAAGCGGAAGATCTGCCTTGGGAGGGGGCCACTCAGAGAGGCCCCCAGGCAATGCCCCCCCCCCATCCTAGCAGAGGTCAAGGGATCCTCCTCCCTCCCAACACACACTCCCTTGTGTGTGAACCCTTCAGGCTCTTTTCCCCAAACCAACCCACCAACTGACCATGCCCCGTTCTGACCATCACTCGGAGGCAACGCAGGGGGGGGGTCCCACAAGCAAGCCCCGCCCACAGACTGCCCCCCATGCAAAGTCTCTGCCACTCACTGCAGGTTGATGTCCCGAACCAGGGGCTCAAACTTGGGGCCCCCTGGAATGGCCATGTTGAGGGCCTTGGAGGTGAAGAAGGCCTTCAGGTCGAAGAGGTAGAAGTAGTTGTCGTCCACCAGGTCTGTGAGGAGCTGGTTGGCCAGGCGGTAGAGGGTGGACATCATGGGGAGGGTGAACTGCCATCGCTGGTAGGTGGAGCCGTTGACGTACCTGCAGGCCCAGAAGAGATAGAGGTCACCGGGGGGGGTGGGGTGAGGGGCGCTTTAGCAACTGCCCCTCCCACAAAGCCTTCGTTCTGCCTGGGGGAGCCCCTGGGGGGAGGGGCTATTTCCACAGCTCTCCTGGACCTTCCACGAGGTCAGAGCATGAACTGCAGAGACAGAAGGAAGCAGGAGGCGCCCGGGGCCCTTTCGATGTCCCAGCAAAGGACACCCTACTCTGGGTTCAAGCGCCCCACCCCCACCCCGAATCTGGGACCTGGAACCCCATCGGTTCTCCGGCTGGGGATGGGGATCCTTGGCACTATTTCTTATTCCTCCCCCGGAAGGGAATGAGTAGGGGTACGCACTTGCGGCTGTCCTTCAGGGGCTGGTGGTCGTAGAACCAGTCCAAGACGGGAGCGTCTTCCTCCGGGTCCAGCTCCAGCTGGATGGCCTCCAGGGGCTCCACGTCCAGGATGTTGTCCGCGTAGTCAAGGGGGGGCTCTTCATCGTCAAAGGGCGGGAAGCGCATTCGCTTGAAATGCCGCCGGTCCCTCTTCTCCCGCCTCATCATGATCCACATGGACCTTGGGACGCATCCGAGGCCAGGGATCAGCCACGGCGCCAGGCCGATCGCAGCCAACCTGCCCGCCCCTCCCCCACCCCCAAGCACCAGACCGGGAGGCTCCCTTACCCCCACTGGGCGATGTACACCGGCTCAATCACCCACGGGATCTCGTTCACGAAGGAGATGGCCCCGGTGATATGGTAGAGGACAGGCACGTCCCGGATCTGCTCCCAGGGCATCGGCATGTTCTCCAGGAGCTTCAGAACTGCGTGGGGCATGTACTTCAGGGCCCTGGGAGGGGGGGGGGGAAAGGGGGGAAAAGCACGTGGTACCCACTGCTGGATCCCGGTTGGCCAGCGCAGCCTGTGCAGCTAATGCAGGGGAGGATTGGCAGGAAGAGTCTGCTCGGCTATTCGACCAAATACGCAGGAACCTCCCTGCATTCCAAGGCTCTGCTATTCTAGCCTGGAATAACACAGCACCTTCCTAAGGTCTCTGCTGCTGCTTCCGCTTCTTGTCCGACCTCCGTCGTGAGGCCCCGTCTGCAGAGGGGAAGGCAAAGTACCGCCGGCCCTTGCAGCAGGAGATTCCCGGGAGGCAGGGGGCGCCAAGGGAATCCTCGGGATTCTCATATGTGCGCCCTCTTGAGACTCTGCCCAGGGGGCCACCCGCCAGCCCCCTCAGGCTCCACACCCTGAGGAGAAGCTGAAGCGGTGTGACCAGCTCCACCCTCTCTTCCTCTTCCTCTTCTAGGGCTGCCAAGGCCTCATCCAGCCCAGCTCCTTTTAAGAGACTTAGCAAAATGTCCAAGGCAGGAAACGCAGGGATTCAATCCCTGGGGTTCAAACTGCTACGAGCTGAGCCACAGCACTCGACCCCTGACCACCCACAGCATCTACTGGGCAGCGCCAAGCATCCCCTTCCCACAACACTCTTTGCCCAAAGATCTCCTCAAGGAGAACACCTGCGCTGGAGATGTGTACGGCTCAGCCAAGCCTCCCGCCTGGCTCTTTCTTGGCGCAATTGCCCAACGTCCCGGCCCAAGTCTCACCCCAAATACACCCGCTTGTCATGACGGAATTTCCTGTTGGTCATGTCTCCGTGATCACGGATGATCTTCCTCACGTGCTCAGGCGGCATGTCCTCCTTCTGGGCATCCACAAAGCCAAATTTCCTCTTCTCGGCATAGCGCTTTGCCTGCAGCTGCTGCCATTTTCGGGCTAAAGAGAGAGAGGACCCCACCCCTCCAGCATGAAAGCCTCTTCACTCAGCCCCTGGTATTCCCCCCACCCAACCGCCGGCATGGGGGCAGTGGGGACGAAGCCTCGTGCCGTGACCGTACCTTTTTCCTGCAATTTCTCCTCCGACATGTAGTCGGGCAACGGAGTCAAGGGGGTGGGCATTGGGGGGCATGGGCCCCGGAAAGGGAAGACTCCTGCCATGGTGAGCAACGCAACCTGGGAAGAGAGCAGAGACAATCTCTGACTGAGAGCACAGGGAACTCCGGGAGAAGCAGAAGCAGCACAGGCCAGTCAGGCAGAACCGCAGAGAAGACACAGCGGCAACAGGGCCTTGGGGGCTTCGTCCAGAAAATGTCTGTAGGGGGATAAATGAGATTCTGCAAAAGCGCAGAACCACCGCGAGGACCAGAGAGGACCAGTCACCCCGCAGTCCCAACGGAGGGTCCCCTTCAGAGAAGGCAGGCAGTGGCTTCTTCACAGCTGCCCCAGCTCAGAGCTCCAGGCGGCTCCCACCAAGGGATCTTATCAGAAGCACCCGGGGTGGATTTCCACCAAGGGCTGCATGGGGGACAAAGGATCCTCAACATGGAAACTTCCAGGAGGGCAGCTACAAGGCCCAAGGCAAGTGGCCCTGGGGCAGGGAGAATTCGCTGCAGGCTCTTGACCTGCTTTCCCTCCCTCCCTCCCTCCCTCCCTCTCTGCGGAGGAAGGACTCCAAAAGGGCTTCCAGGGGCATCTCCAGGCAGCCTGAGGGCGGCTGGGCCGCATCGGTGGCCTTTCCGGGGGCGACCAAAGAAGCAGCGGCCTCCTTGCCAGGAGAAGAGGGGGGGGCGTTGGGGGGGGGGTTCTGGCCCAGCTCACCTGCCGGCTCCCCCAGACAGTCCCCCCCCCCCAGTCTCCTCCGGCTGCCGCCCACCGAGGCCCGAAAGCCGCCTGGCGAGGCGGGTCTTGGGCTCCACGGGAAGCCGAGGTCGGGGCGGCGGGACGCAGAGCAGCTCCGGAATCAGCTGCGGCACGGAGGGGCCCCAGAGGGAGGAGGGGGCGGGGCTGCTCCGCTCGCCGCCCCTCCCCCGCAGG